TTGTGATGGTTTCAGTACTGCAACTGAGGACGATCCAGAAGCCCCTGCTCTTCGTCCACGAGTCGGGGGACGATGATGATGTGATGGTGGACGCTTTTCTCAATGTTGATAAATGCTCTTGTCTCGTGCTTCCTCGAAAAGTAGGAACAACTTCCCATTCATGTTAAACCATTGATAATAGTCATCGACAACTGAATAATGATCGATATAAATCAACTCCATATAGGGAATACATCAACATCGATCCTCCTAGATCATTACCCCGCTGTGCTTCATCATCCAATTTACATCTTTTTTCCCTGTCTATCGACGTTATGAAAATTGTCGAGATTCCTAGGTGCTTCAAGAATAGATTGTACGAAACCAAATTAGAGGAGCACGTGACCACTAGGATGCCACTCGATAATAGCATAACATATCAAAGGGACCACCACCATCTATACATCTAATGGGCCACTCAAGTGAGGTCGGATACAATGCCTCATTTCTTTAGTACAATAAAAAGCCCATTGAAACTAAAACAATTATATATAATTCTTAACAAAATAATATTCTAATTATATAACTATAATTAAATGTAAATAATAAAATTTAAATACATACATCTGTATCAGCCTTTTGATCAATGAGTAGCCGAATTTCTTCCAATTCGTCTGATATATCACGATGATTTTTCCTTATACATGACCACCTATTCAGTATAAAAAATTCATTATATACTTAAAAATTATTTATAAATGAACTTAGTATTGAAATTATCTCAACAATAATGGGAAGACTAATGAGTTTTTCACGACTGAACATAAAAAGGGCATGCGATACCACACCCAAGACTGCAGAAGAAGGAGACATCCGCCGATAGTATTTTTTTCGATAATCAGTTGCCCGATATATTTCTCTATATAGAGATGCCAAAACTGCAGAGCCCCAACTAAATGAGTCGATAACTCAAAAATCTGCGAGGTGACACAACCACATACAATGAATTTAATTGCGAGATTTATCGGACATTAAGATACCTCCTATGAGTTGTAATATGCAAGCCTGTGCAAATATTTTAGCCTGATTCTTGGAACAATCTTCTTTCAACTGTTGAAAATTTGTAACAAACTATGATAAATGTATTTGACCACCGTTGAAATTAGGTGGGATACCTCCTAGATACTCATCGTACAAGGAATACCAATCACCATCTGTCATACCAGAAGTAACATCATCATATACCGGAAGCCCCAAATATATGGAAACACCCTTCAGCGTAATAGTGCACTCCCCACATGGAAGATGGAATGTGCATAATGCATCAAATCTCGGGTTAGTAGTTCGGGTCAACCCGAAGCACAAAGTTGAGCCATTGGCCTTATATTATAGTTGGACCAAGTTTGTTGTTTGTGGGCTAAAGTTAGGGCTCATGAGAGTTGTTGTTTGGGGATGAGTAGATCATAAAAATAAAAATAAAGAGACTAAAAGTGTAGTTTACCCATAGTCATTTTGGAAGCTGAAAATTCCTCCTTATTTTATGTTTTTAACGTGAACCAACCCCTTATACAACTCACCAAACACTATTCTTATCTTCTTATCTTTCCCTCTTCTTCTCTCTTCTTTAAGTAAGAATCTCAAAAGAATTCAATCCTAGTTGGATCCATCCAACGTAAGATTATTAAACCTCATCCTTCTAGCTTCAATTTGAGCCCCATGTCACTATTTTTATCCATATAACCAAAAATGGGTCTTGAGAGATTTGTGGGAATCTATGGATTCTAGCTAAGTTTTGAGTTATAGGAAGTTTGTTTAGATGTTATTCAACCCATAGATGGACGGATAATCTATTTTATCATTTTCTTTAGTGAATGAGATATGAGAAAGCTAAAGAGCTAAAGGAAAAGAAAAGTTGAATCTTGAGTGAGTTGAGAAAGTTTCTAGTCATCCAAGGAGCAAGGTAACACATTACAACTTTTATATACTCTTAGTGAGTCATTAGAAGTTCAAGATAGTTTAAATGTTTGAGTTGAGCATGATAAGCATTTTCATGGTGAAATTCTTGTTTTAGAGTTATAAATGTGTTTAAAGTCTTTATTATGACCCTTGTTGATCAAATAAAACTTTAAGCATGTTTGGGGACCTCACTAAGGTCTTTGGGATTGAAAAATATAGTTTTTCGTACTCGTTTTATGACTTCTCCACGTAGAGTATCGATACTATAGGGATAATATCGATATTTATTCTTCGTTTTTAGGTAAAATCGAGTTTTCTGGGCAAGAGTAACGAAACTCTTTCAAGAGTATTGAAACTTTAAGTCATAGTTTCGAAACTCCCATAAAGTTTCAAAACTGGTCAGAACATAATGTTTAAAAGTATTGATACTTATATAAAGTATCGAAACTTTTGCAGGAGTATCGATACTCTTAGACTAGTATCGATACTTTCAGTCTGTTTTGGGCAAAAATGTCAGTTTTCAAGGGAATTAGACTCGAGGTACCCCAACACTTTTTATCATCAAATAATACTACAAGTGAGAATATTAATGCTATTAATATTACACTTAGAAACAAGATCAATTAGGATGAAAAAAATTAGCCTTGGATGATGCTCAGGAAATGATCAGGAAACTCGAGTTCCTTTAGAAAATGCTAGCATTATCGAAAGTATAGATTTAGTCTGGATATATCCTTAGGTAGTGTGTGAGGCACTTAAAGCTAACTAGCTTGGGCGCAAGGTCTGACACTCAAGGAGTGGGCTAGTCGAGGGGGTTGATTGATGTAGAGATTCCGGGCAACTAGCCTCAGTAGACTAGAGAGGTGTGTGAGCTTCGAGATGCAGAATCCTTAAACGCACCATGATGTCTACTATAGAGTAGAGAGTGCAGTATATAGGTATGGTAACTATTGCAGTTATCAGTTAGCTTGAGCTTGACATTAACACTTCTAATATGACTTAGTTGTTAGTATGACACTGGGCTAGTTAGCTCAGAGTTTGGAATTTGTTTCCTTACGCAAGTTAGTCGAGGAGTAGTCCGAGGACTTTTTGACATCAGTGATCCACACCCAGATAGTGCATAGTACGTCTCAAGTTCATCATTAGAGAGCATGTATAATTGTAAACATGTATAATTGTAAACTCGATTTGTATATTTTTGTATGAGTCGTAACTCACTTTAAACTATGGTCTGTATAATTTAAATATTAATTTGGGAGCTCCTAATGTAAACTATTTTATTTAAATTGTAGTTGATTTATTTTAGCATGAGTGGTTACAAATGATCATTTTTAAAACGGAAAAAATTTAAAAGAAAATTTTGGTTAGCCACTCAGTGGCATTATGATCGGTCGACTGTGTGTCGTATTGGTTGAGGGTGTTACAATGTGTGTGTTTCTGGTCTGCATCTCTCAATCAGTGCAAAAGTAAGGTTGAGTTCAAAGTTACAATGCCCTTCGTAATTCGCTATGTCACCGAATCCAGCTACGGCTAAATATGACCAGACACAACTCGATATCTCTAACTTAACATTACGAATAAGTTGATCTAATATACGGTCATTCACCTAATTAAATAATAGTATAAAAATTAAAATATAAACTAATACTAAAAATAACTAAATAAAACAATCATAATAAATAAAATAACAAAATTTAAAATTATTATTGTATCGACAAAATGACTCGAGATATGATTCTCATCTAAACGCAGCAACCCACCTGTCATTTTATAACTGAAAAAAATAATAAAAAATTAGTATAATAAAATATAATAAAATAATAAACTATTAAGTGATTATAATATAATAAAAATTAGCTTCTAAAAATGATAACTATACCTTCTTAAAACTTGATAGAATTATAGATAGAAGGGAGAAATATAATATTTTCGTTTGTGATTTGAGTGTTGAAATGGAAGGGGTATTTATAGGGGAAAGGGAGAGGGAGGCTGACAGACGGTTGGGCGGTATTTTTGGCAGGCAGATCGATTTAAATGAATTTTTGCCACCTTGGACGGAACCCCATTAAGGTACGCTTCATGATCCGCATCTTCCAACGTGGTGCCAACTTAGACAGAACCCCGTGAAGGCGAGTCTCATGATTCACGCCTTTCCATTGTGGCGCCAGCTCGGACAGAACTCCGCGAAGGCGTGTTTCATGATTCGTGTTTTGTCATAAAGGGTACTAGACCAATAATATTTGGAGAAATGATGCATGACATATAATATTTCATTGTTAGGGTGATTTTTGGGTAAAAAGGCGCAAAGTTTAAAGGCTTAATTCAAAAGTAATTAAAGTATATATTTGTATGATTTAAGTATCTTAAGTGCGCTCGAAGAACATAAATATTGTAATTAAAGAATTGTTATTATTATTTTTAAGATTCTGGTATAAAAATAATATACCGCATTTTTAAAGTATAAACTTTTATTATCAACTAGTTAGTCTCTAAACAGATACTACCTTGATTTATCTTAAAATTATCAAAAATATATTTTTAGTCAATAATAGATGTCAACTTGAATCTGTCTGGATTAAATCTTTTTATTAGTTTGTGTCTATATGATGTTTACAAAATATTATCTGATCGAAATATTTTTAATCACTTAATAATAATCGTTTAAAATAATTTTTCAGACAATATATTTAAACCCGAAATTTCTAAAGATAATAATCATTATTTATATAACCAAAAATATGAGTAAGGTCATTCGGCCAGATTAATTAACTGAAACATTGATATGCAAACCCAAGGAAGTAGGAACAATAGTTAAGATAGATTTATGTTCATACAAGGATTTACATACAGTGAAAGTAAAACACCACTTTACATTAAAATCACACCAAATGCTTTCCACACCACACTTCTCCTAAATCAATCGAAACAAACACATTAATCTTCACACTTCACCAATAAAACACAAGTAAAAGTCGACACAATGATTGATATTCCGATTCTATCGAGAATTTTACGAAGTAGCATCCATCATAGAATCGAAACATCGTCAAGTATTTAAAAGTCTTCTATCTTCTTTTAAGAGAAAAAGCTGAAAGGATAAGTATAAACAAGAGGAGAGTGCCGGCTATGAGAGAACCCACGACTGCTCCGCTCACACTTTGACAGAAATTGCCGAACTGTTGGCAAAATGGAAGCCAGTTCGTGTTCGGGTTCCCGTTGTGAGCCAGATATATGATCGAAGCCGTGGCCGAGGCCGCGGCTATCGTTAAACCCGCCATCGCCTGCAACAAACCGGTCATGCCAAATACATTAAATCGAGTAATAAGTATCCGATACTAATCATGATCGCGGATACTTACAGCATCGAATATGACAAGGAGGAGCTTCGGAGTTGTTGCGAGTGGACGGATGATGCAGATGATGGAGAATGGCAATGAAAGGACTAGATATCCGGTAACTATGGCGTTTGCTATCATGAAAAACCTGTAAAACAAGCAATGTTTATATGATTTTTTTGAAGATTATTATTCGTATGAACGTACTAAAAATTTCACGTTAGGGTATAAATTTATAAAAATTTAAGAGTAAATTATGATTTAATATTTAAACTATTAGTTTTGATCTATTTTAGTATTTAAATTTTTAATTTTTTTCAAAATCACATTTAGTTTTTATTTCATTTTAGTACTCACTGTTAAAAACATAACGTGAATTGTATTTAAACTATCAACTTTTATCCATTTTAGTACCTAAAATTTAATTTTTTTCAAAATTTAACGTTACACTTTTAAGGGGTACTAAAATAAAATAAAAATACAATTTTAGGTATGATTTTAAAAAAGTTAAAGTTTAAATACTAAACCGGACCAATATTAATAGTTTAGATATTAAATACATAATTTTCCCAAATTTTAAAGATAAAATATATAGAGGGAAAAAAAGGAAAAAAGACGTACACCAGAGTTGGAATATCATTGTACTGAGCTTGGAACTGGAAGAACTGAGTGAAAAAAGGGAGAGTTTGTTGAGCATTCCCCACTGTCACGGCGGCGCCGGTGGTGGCTCCCATGGCGCACAGCCTTAAAATGAAGTCACCTATGGCGAATTCTTTTTTCACTCCCCGTTTCGGCGGCGGTTTTACGCCACCGCCGTTCGAGGAGACAACTAACGGGGCTTTGCCTTTGGAATTGGACTTGGTTTCTGGGATGTTGATCGATGTCTCGACGGCTTTGTCGGACGCCATTAGAGATTTTTTTTAAGGAGAAAAGGAATGACAGAAGATGGTTCGTGGGGCAGATGGAATAAGAGGTTTTGTTGTGAAGAATCCTTTGTACGACACTGCTTTATATAGGGATGGAAATGAATCCACGTGGCACGTAATGGAATATTCGAATAACTCAGTTTTAATTTTTGATTGAATCTATTAAATTAACTGAAATGGTTTATATGATTTGTTTAATATATTGTTTTATTTAAGGATGAACATTTCATCTGAACCTATCAGATTTTGATTTCGTCTTAAAAGATAAATTTTAAAAAAATAGATTTGAATGAAAAATATTCGAATAATTGGCATTTGTATAGTTAATGATAATTGCTATAATATTTATTTGTCTATATTTTTTCAATTATATCTCTATTTTATCTAATAAAAATGTGATTCACTCTGTAAAATTAAGAGTTTTACACTTTTTTAGCATCGTTAGATTATGGAAATCAAATGTTGATATTGATAATAGGAAATGAGAAGATATTTATTGGGGGGGAATAATGAGTTAATCTAAGTCTTTAATTTCTCCTTGTCTGATATATATATATATATGTTAGGATCGACTTACATAATGTAAAACTATTTAGTTTTACACAAATTTAGAACCGTTGGATGAGTGAAAATATATGGTTGATATTTACTATTTTTAATAAATATCTTCACATTCATACTTTTAATCTCAATCATATGTTTTCACTCGTCCAACGATCTTAAGTATCTGTAAAATTAAAAGGGTTTTATAATATCTAACATAATCATATCTCTATATATTTATGTTGGATCAATATATAATTTTTTACCTTAAAATTTGAATAAATCTTTATGGACCAAAAATCCAATATAAAACAACTCATGATCATGAACAACCTTAAATTTATCCTCAATACATTCAAACCTACAATTTTAAGGATAAAACAATAATCCTCTGCCCTTTTTCTTCCAAACAAATGGAGAACCTTCCCTTATTTACCAGTGGATTTTTTTTTTTTTTACTATTTTTTATCCCAAAAAATTCTATCGCCCTCTCCTAAAACCTCTCCAACCCGAGCGAACATGTTGGCCCCACCTCTGATGGCGGCCGATGCATCAAAAAATCAAGGCATGTTGATGAAGCTCCACCCTCTGATACATCCATGGTTGTAGACACGGATGCTCTAGCGATAGACAATGGACATGAATCCAATCAGATCCCCATGCCACGTCAAACATCGGTAAACCCTAGTGTTGCTGCTATGACTGGTTCCGAGACCCCTATCCAAGCTGGTGGTCGTCCCCATAATAGCACTTTGTCTTACAAAGATACCCTCACTGGTGGTAAAACTGATCAAGCAGCTAATGGAAGATACCCTCCTTATGTTAAATTTGGTGTAATTGCTTAAGGGTTTGGCCTCCTTTCAATCCAAAAAAAAAAACTATTAGATGAATCCGATTCACCACGTCATTCGTGATCCCAACCAATAATGTTTGTCAATTTCATTTTTTTTCATGGTGAATCTTCACCTCTTTCGTACAATGTAAATAAAATGTAAGTACTTATTTGGAAGTTATTTTAAAATTGATAGCTCTCATTCATTAAGACCGTGAATGACGTGGTGAATCGGATCTATCAAATAATTTATCGAATACCACTTTTCCCCCATAAATATCATTACAATTCTCTTAGACTATAGATCATATTTAATTTTTTTTTCATAAATTTACGATTATATACTTAAATCATAAAAGACAAATCGTTATTGACACTTACAACAACTATATCTTCATGTACATCACCAAAATTCAATTAATAAGAATATATTACTAATTTAATGAATATCATTTTAATATAAACTAAAAAGCCTTAAATATTTAAATATTTATTTCTCTCTATATATGAACATAGTTTGTTTTTTTTTCATCAATGCAACTAATAGATGATCTTATATAATTATATTAAATCGGTTAAATGATTTTTTCTTTATTATGTGATTCAAAGTTAATGATAATATTTGTTGAGACCTAATATTATAAAAAACAAAGTGAAGTATAAAGAAAGAAAAGTTTAGTGGGTTAGATATGGGAGATTGGAGTTGTTGCCCTGCTGATGTTCACTTGCACTACTTCCAACAAATTCGTCCCAGAAATCAGAATGGTAAATAAATGGCATTCCTCGAAGGATCTCTCAGTTTGGGGAAGATGGAGCAGTTGTTTGGGAATTATGAGGGCTCACAACCTAGGATCGTAACAAATAACTTATAAAAGTTGGGTAAATTACACCATTCTTCATTGAACTATATTCTATCTCATATTTTACTCACTGTATTTTCTAAATTTAATTTTACTCATTGAACTTTTAAATTGCTCATGTTTTGATCACTCTGAATTATTTTATTATTATTTTTGTATAACATAACATTTTTATTATTATTTAATATAAAATAATTTAAAATATAAAATAAAAATAGAAGGTGGTTGGACACCACCGCTGGCCGCCATTGACTGTCGTAGATAGTGATCGTTCGGTCCCAAATTTCATAGGTCGTTTTGCCTCCACACCGTGAATCCGAATCCAACCTCCATTTTGTCAAAACTTGCTCCGAAGTCCACGAATTAGAAAGTGAAAGTGAGGAAGTCGAAATGTTTCAATCGAGATTCACGAGTTTTGAGACATTTTCCATGAAACAACCATCATATTCAAACTCAAGGGGTCGAGACGAACCGACCCCTAAAATTTTAGACTGAACAACCATCATCTACGACAATCGACGGTAGCGTCCGATCACATTCTATTTTTATTTTATATTTTCAATTATTTTATATTAAATAATAATAATAAAAATATCATATCATACTAAAATAATAATAAAATAATTTAGAAGGATTAAAACAAGAGCAATTCGAAAATTCAATGAGTAAATTAGAATAATTGAAAATATGATGAGTAAAATAGGAAAGAGATTATAATTGAGTGAAGAATGGGGTATTTACCCATATGCCTCTCATTATCAGGGTGAACAAAAATCATCTTGGCTTGAAATTTTAAATTTTTCGACTCGACTCAAATTGAATTTGAGTTATAATTTCATAAACTCGACTTGAAATGTTTTTAAATTCAAGTCAAGTTATAAAATAAAACTCAAATAACTTGAATAATTCAAATTTTTAGTAATTAATATATTAGTTTTTGTGCGTGAATTGAGAGAGTTTGTGTCTAATCCTTCAACTTTGTATAATATATGAGTATTGTATACAAAAAAATATGAATATATATATATATATATTGTATATGATTATAGAAGATCATTTAACTTAGAATCATATAGTACCATAATATTATAAATATTTACAATTAAATTTAAACACAAACTCGAACAACTCAACTCAATTCAACTCAACTCAAATTTTACAGACTCAATTCGAAAAAAATTCAAATTAAATTTGAGTTATAAAATTAGACTTGTCAACTTAATATTTTATGACTCGACACGACTCGATCGAACGTTCATCCCTACTCATCATATAGTTCTTTTAATTTTTTATATAATAATAATTATTTAATTTATTGATCAACTAATTTTAATCGAGTATTGTATAGATCAATTAGAGCAATAATTTTAAATTCATCCCCAAATTATGACCAACATTCAATAGTAATCTCCAAACTTTCAAATGTTTCAATTTCATCCTCAAACTTTTGGATGACTTTAGAAGTTGTTATTAGAACATTCAAAAGCTTGGGGATCAAATCAAAATGAGGGTCAAAATTTGAAGATAAAGTTGGAATATTCAAAAGTTTGAGATTAACTTAGAATGAGAGTAATAGTTGACGGATAAATTAAAATATTCAAAAGTTTATTGACCAATTTAAAATGAATCATGGTTTGAAGATGTATAGTACAATTAATTCTATAAAATTCTTTAGCTTTGTGTTTAAAAATAAAACAAATTTACACCTCCTTTAATTAAAGATTTACAGGTATATTAGATTATGTAAATACAAGTCTTTTAGTAATTTCAAATCAAGTTGATGTTCAAGTTGACTCGTAACACCAAATTTAATTAGAATTTTTCCGAACCCTGAAATTCCATGCATATACAGCGTACAAAGATGATCCACAACGACGCCATGCCACTCTTTCATCAAAGATTAAAAAAAAAATCTAGGTGGACATTATGCTTACTCATATAGCTCAGAAACTCGAACTCGGAAACCAAATGAGCCTACTTAGACAAACTTACATAAATATTCATCGAAGTTAATGACAAATTTAGAAATATTTTTTTAGGATAGACACATATATTAACAACACAAAATTTTTCGTATATGGGTAGACACATAAATTTTTAAAGTGGTCACAATGAGTACAATGGATAACTAACCAAAGAAAATTCAAAATTTAAGGTGGACACTTGCATATCCTAAATAAAGAGTGCATAAGCCACTGGTCAAGGTGCATACTGTCGTAGCCGGTTTTTGCCCGGGCACGAAATTTTACTTGTCAGGAAAAGTGACGTGAATAAATGGTTTTAAAATGTTTTGGGAGTCGCCATCGGTTTTTTGGGTCAGGTAGGTCGAATACCTAAAAACTTGTCTTTTAAAAGAGTTTTTAAGAAAACATCAATTAAAAAATAAACTGGTCTGCGTTTTAACCAAAAATTCGTTCTTTTAAATAACAAAAAGGGATTCGTGGTCGATTACTTTTGGGGAAGGATTAGCACCCCCACAACGCCCAAAATTGGTACTCATTAATTATAAATTGTCTCTATTATTGAAAATTCTAAAAATTCAAAAATATATATTTAATTCATAATCTTATTATTTCAAATTTATTAATATAATTTTAAAAAAAATATATTAATTTATATATATTTTTATTTTTATAAATAAGATACTTATTTACTTAGGAATATCAGAAAATGACTTCTAGGTGCTTTAAGACAGATCATTTCTTAATATTAAAAAATAAATAAATATTAATAAAACATTAAAAAAATAACATATATAATTTATAAAAGTAAAATATTTATTTAAAAATAATATATATAATTTATAAAAGTAAAATATTTATTTATAAAAAAATATCAGAAAATAGACATCTAATTGCTTTAAGACTACCCTTTCTTAATATTAAATAAATATTATGAAATTATTATATGATATTTCATATAAATATTAGTGAACAAAATATAAATAATAACAAATAAATAAATAAAGTACTAATTTAAACATATTGAAAAAATAAATGACAATATAGAAATAGAATAAAATTGTATTAAATAATGACCAAAATGGAATAATTTAAAACTGTGGAATTAAATTGTAAAATATATAAAATGAATGGTCAAAATGAAAGTAATTAGAATATCAGTGATTAAAATATAAAATATCAAAATTAAAGGACATAATTTGAATTATTATAAAAATATAATTACTAATAATGTAATTTAACCTAATTAATTATTGGGGATCAAAATAAAAGTAATTAAAATTACCAGGGCCTAAATAAAGTATTTACCCTTAAATATTTATAACTACGGTGTAGTGACTAAAATATAATAAAGTAAAATTGAAAATTGATTAAAAGGAACATAAACTGATTTCAGTGACTAAAATAGAATCTTACAAACTTCAAGGGTTTGTGTATATGGTTTACCCATTATGAAATTACGCATATACCCCTCCCCAAAATGACGTCGTTTAGAGAGGGGTATATAAGCCCAAAAACCGACCCCTTAGGCAAATTTCTTCATTTCTCTTCTTTGGTTCTCTCTCTAAGAGAGAGAACCCTCTCTCTTCTTTATAAACTCTCTCCCCAGAGAGAGAGTCGGCCACTGATCGGAGACCATGATACGCCGCCAAGCACCACCGTCGACCACCGTTAACGGTGGCCGAAATTTACAAAACCATACCAAATCAAAGCTCTTTTAACCCTAAAGCCAAATATGGTATCCTTTTCTCCTAAAATACCCTAGTATTTCCTAGATCTAGGAAATTACCTTCGAAATACGAAGGTTTCTGACGATGTTTCGAAAGCCTCCGATGACAGAGTAAGCTCTCTCTTCTTTTTTCTTCTTTTCGAATGGTTGTTGCGTTCGTCTCTGTTTTTGGATTGCTCTCTTTTTTTTGGTTTGCTCTCTGTCTTTTTGGATTGCTCTCTGTCTCCTCTCGTTCCTCTCTGTTCTTGCTCGCTGCCCTTTTTCTTTTTCTTTGCAGGATTCGGTGGCTTTATAACCACCACCGAGGCTCTCATCGGACCGGGGAATAAAGCTCATTTCGGTGAGTCGCCATAGTTATGGTGGTGACTCACCATAGCCTTCAACGTGGGTGGTTGGTGTGGTGATTCTGGAGAGTTCCAAGAGGTGGCAGCAACTGGCTAGGACACCTGGCAGTGGAGTGTCAACGTGGGGCGGCTGGAATTTCGGCAGTGGTCGATTGGAGCACTCGGCAACAGAGCGGCAGTAGGCTTCTGGTTGAGAGGCGATTGTTCTTCTTCCCAGCGGCGGCTGGGTGCATAGGATACAACCCTAATCAATTTAGGGTTCCTGTTGGGCCACCGAGGTTGGGCTTGTAAACTGGGCCTGGGTTCTTTGTAAATGGGTTGTGGGTTTGTATTATTATTATTTATTTAATAATATATATATAATAATAATAATAATAATAATAATAATAATAATAATAATAATAATAATAATAATTTTAATTTTAATAATAATAATAATAATAATAGAATGAAAAATTAATGTCTACACATACCTTAGCAAGAATTTAAACCGGTAAGACCGCTGCTCAGGATCGGCATGATGGTAGAGTGATGCCTCCACAGAAAGCGGCAATAATCACGTAGAGTAGCAGAACAATCAAGCATGTTAGCATGGCCGTGTTTGTACATGAAGGTGTATAAGTTCCTTTGTGTGGCATTCAACATGCACCAAAGATGCAAACCAGTAAAATGTGATTTAGAAGTGCAATCAAACAAGTTTTTTTGTGTCGGTATTCGACGAAAATGATCAGAAGAAACCACTCAACTGACATAACTTGAAAAAATTATCTGACATTTTCTCTGTCTGTCCCGTTATCCTTCTATAATGAGCCTTGTACACGGTATATACATACTTTAAGTCTTCAAAGCTTGATCATTTTGATCAAACTAAATTGAGAACAAATACAATAAGCTCAGCGGCAAAATAAAATCTCTAGGTTCCCTTACTTGACATGCGAAGCCATGCTTTCGCTCCAAGATCATCGACAATAAAGGACCCATGAATTGGCTAGTTGTCTATTTTTTCTGTAAATATAATGTCATAAAAGAAGTTGGATGCACTTACAAAAGTTTGGCATTTTTCATCCAACGTGCTTGACGAAGGCGTTTAGACTGTTTCTTGAAGTGAAATGCACCATCTTGCATTGTTGCCGTTTTGTCAACAAGAAGCTCAATCCTATCACCTCTCTCAAGTATTTTCTCAATGTTTTCCACCATAATTGCACGTATCTGAAATTGAATAAGAATCACAAATTCAGGGAACATTGATCACTTGATATGCTTTCATTCAATGAATACCAACGATGTCGTTACAGACAATAATAAGCACGAATATTTTCGGAATAGATGTTGAACAACCAACAGCTTTCTTGGCCAAACTAATCATCACAATTGCGTATTGTTTGTATAGTTGATAACCAAAACTACGGCCTGGGAAGCAGATAGTCAAAAATAGTAAAATATATACTTGACTTAGCATGAAGAGCAAGTCAATTTGCAACCAATCAAAATCAAAATATTTACAGGTCCAAGATAAAAAGGAAAGCAGAAAATGACACTTCGAACAGATGGTAAGAAAATGAAGTTCCAGCCAGCAAATGCAAGATACTTGCCTCACCCACTTCACCTCTAACACGATTGAGAGTATCTGCACTTGGACTACTGGAGAAAAATTCCATTTGTTGGTGCAACACCCGTGAGAACTCATCATTCATTCCGTATGCCGGTGCATAATGAGCAACTCTGCCATAGTTTTTCATGAACCTCATGTGAATGCCCTCCAAGTATGAAAACGGAACTCTCCCTGCAGTGAAGCACAATAGTTAATGGTGACTCAAAATCATAATCATGCCATGCCAGGAGTGTTTTAAGGCAACAAGTGCTTCGCAAAGTTCGAACTTGTGACGTGGCGCAGATATTGAATCTCAACTAATCTATATACAATTATACATAATCACCTCTATCTTGATACATCATAGAAAGTGGGGAAATAGCCTATCAAGCAAGAAGACAACAATATTGAATCTCAACTCATTTATACATAAATAATGCCATATCCTTCTCATAGTTTATAAAGCAAATACACTCCAATTTTATGTTTCCAAGCATAGCACTGAACCGAATAAAAAATCAATGGAAATTTTATTGGTAATTCTACAATAAATCTTTATCTACGTACTAGAAATTAACATGAAGCGTGCATTTCAAGTGACGGACTTCAAAGAAAGAATCATATAATTGACTACTACAATTTGCCAACCTAAAAATTTAAACTCCCAACGACGCTAAAAATTGCATAATTCAGAAATAAATGAAGTCAAAGAAACGTACTTCCAAAGGTATCATTAGCCATACAGAGGAAAGTGAGGCCGTCCGATCTCAGTATATGAAAGATATAACGGTCCTGCGATAAACAGAGTCTTGAATCAGCCTCTTCCGGAAGCTTCTCGAGTATCCGTCGCGCCACCGCACCGGTGTTCCCAGTTACGGCACTGAACTCCGCCAGAACCACCGTTCCTCGAGCTATCAAAGCGTAGAGAATCGCCATCGAGAACCTTCTACTTTGTTTTTACTGGCGGGGGCGGGATCGAAGGGCTATTTTGATACGTGATTTTTGGGGGGTTTAGTCTTAGGTATGTTTGTTTTTAAAATATTTTTCTCTCAACCGATTTTTTTTTTTTTTGTGTTTTTTAAAATTGACTTATGGTTTGGGTGAAATTTTCGAAAAATCATCGGTATATTTATCGATCTAACACCGGTCAGATTATATTTCTCGATCTAACACTCATAGCAGTAAAAGCGCGCCCCCTGTCTCGCGCTATATGCTGAATTGGCGCCACATGGGGTATAGCGCGTCCCCTGCCCCGCACTATACGCTGACATGGGTTACACGTGGGTATAGCAGCGCGGCCCCTGATCCGCACTATACGCCACGTAGGGGTATAGCGCATATCAGGGGGCACGCTATACCTTTAATTACCCATCCGTCCACACCACAATCCTCCCTATAAATATCTTCATCCTCAATCACTTTCATCACACCAAATTCTCTCAAATTCTCTCAATTTATCTCAAATACTCTCTCTGTTTAAGGTATATTTTATAATATTTTTAATATTATGTTTTTAATTTATTTAAGTAGTTTACTTTATTTAATATTTTACTAATATAATTCTTTTGCAAATATATAATGGAAGGCAGTCTACTTCGCTTGGATAGAAATCATATATCTCGACACTTTGCTGATACGGTAATATTTTAACGTTTTAATTTAATTTAAATTATTAGTAATAATTAGTTGATTTATTTAATGCATGATTATTAGATTAAAAATTAATTTTTGTAATTATTTATTTTTAGGAGAAGGACCGTGTATTAGATCCTTTTATTAGGAATCTTAAGTTAGTGATACCTAGCCGTGTCTTGTCGTATTTAGTAGAGGCTGGATTTGGTTACATAGGTAGATATCAGGGTCACTGTAAGATAGAATCAGACCTTATTTCTGCCTTAGTAGAGCGGTGGAGGCCAGAGACCCACACATTCCATCTTTCGTGCGGAGAGTGCACGATCACGCTTGAGGATGTTTCTATGCACCTGGGGCTTCCGGTGGATGGAGATGTGATATCAGGGATAGCTTCCGGTTCTTGGACTACTTTGTATCGGGATAATCTAGGACGTGTCCCGGAAAGTTTTATCGGAGGTACGATACCGTTAAATTGGTTAGATGCCAATTTTCGGGAGTTGAGCGCAGATGCCTCTGAGGATGAGTTTAAGATGTATGCACGGGCATGCATATTGCAGTTGATAGGAGGGTTGCTGATGTCGGACAAATCGCGCAACCTAGTTCACTGCATGTGGTTGCGACATCTTAGCGACTTTTGTCTCGCCGGATCATTCAGTTGGGGCTTGGCAGTTTTGGCTTTGTTGTACAGGGAGATGTGTGGAGCCACTGACTAAAGGCGTAATGCTATCGGCGGATGTCTCCTACTGCTGCAGTCATGGGCATGGTATCGATTGCCCTTTTTATGTCCCGTTGTGAAGAACCTATTCGTATTTCCACTACTTCTGAGGTAATTATAAAACTGATTTTGTATATTAATAATTTTATATAACGTATAATAAATTTTTTTCCTTGAATAGGTGGTCTACTGATAGGAAAAATCATCAGGAGCTACCTGATGATTTAGAAAAAAATACGGTGCTAATCGATCAGAAGGCTGGCACACAGGTATGAATTTTAATGTTTAAAAATCGATTTTAGATTATAGTTATATAATTAGATTATTATTTTGATAAAAATTATATATTATTTGTTTTAGTTTGAATGGGTGCCATATTCTATTGATGATGTGAGGGCAGTGATCCCACCTGAGTTGAGGGGTCCATCAGATGTTTGGATGGCGATGGTCCCTCTGATCTGTTATGCGACCGTCGAGTGGCACTCCACTGATCGCGTGCTCTGGCAGTTTGGTTGTTTTCAACCAATTCCGGAAGAACCTCGCAATATGGACGAGTTGCGTAGCTTAGATAGATGCGGCAAGACAGATACAGATTGGCTGGTGAGGCATCATGAGTGGGTCGTGTTGTGGGAGGATCGACATCGGCGCCTTCCACGTAGAGAGCCCATTTGTACTGACTTCTTGATGTATGCTGAGGATTATTATGAGTGGTTCAACAGTAACGGGAAATTGTTTATACTTTCCAAGGATGCACGAGGACAGACATTTCCACGACGTCGACAGAGACGTTCACCGACACAGCACCATCGTCCCCCGACTCATGGACGGAGAGCATGTGCTTCCGGTTCATCCTCATATGCACCAGCAGGACCTTCACAGCAGCCACCGCAGCCATTTATGATGCCACAACCATATATGATGACGCCATCACCTTTCCATTACCAGATGCCGCCGTCGCCGCCTTCACTTGGTTTTATGACCTCGCCGCCACCACCGTCACTGATGACCCCTCTTGGAGGCTATTATAGGTCTATGTTTGCAGATCTGACTTAGGGTTCATATATTGGATATTTAGCGGGTTCAGCCTCATCACCCATGGCCGCAGCACAGACACCTCCTGTACAGTTTTCACACTCAGCGATGTCTGGGTTTTCCCAGTTTTTGCAGGTCGGTGGGATAGTCAGTCATACACCTCCAGGGTCCTTATTCTATGGAGGTGCTTCATCGTCATCAGCTCCTCATCAACCTAATGTACCTGCTCAGGACGACAATGACGACGATGACGATGATGACAGCGAGGAGTCAGAACCAGTGATACGAAGAAATCTTCCTCGAGACCGACAGCCACCGCCCTGCGGAACACATTCACGACGCAGGCATCGATAGATTTTTTTATTATATTTGTATTTACTTTATTTTGTTTAATTGTAATTTTTTATTATTTCTCATTTAATACTTACTTTATTTTGTTAAATTTGTTGGACTTTTTTTTAATATATTTCAGTTAATTTTGTTTATTACCATTTAATATCAATTATTGTAATTTGGTTATCATTTATCATTTAATTCTTATTGTAAGTTTGTTGTATTTAAATACCAAATTGTTATTAGTTTGATAAAATTTAATGATTGTGTTCGTTTTTTTAATATTCATCAGCGATTATCGAATGACATTAACTTGAAGTAAATGCAAATTAAAATACAAGAATTATTATATGATAAACAAATACATCATTTCCTCATCAATTGTTACTTGATGGAAACAGAAGTGGACATTTTTTTCTAGTGTGTCATGGGTTTCTACAATGGCCACATCTTCTGTCTTGTCTAGATCTTTCTCGAATATCCATATTGCAATGAATTCAATTGGATTTTGGACAACCACGCTCCCTCAATAAACTCAGATTTGGTACAATCGGAAGCCAATCTTGAACCTTATCAGGGTCTTTGTCATTAACTATGGGGGGAAACTCAAATTCGTATACCTTAAAAACTTCATATAGTAGGTATACGGGATCCACAAAATGGTTATAGTCTTGACGTGTATGCGAGCAAGCTGCTATCACATGAGAGCATGGATACTTCAGAGCTTGAAAAAACCCGCAGTTGCACATTCTGTCCCTTAGATTTACTCTTAACGACACAGCTTCAATCCCTTGAAGAGGTCGCAGCAACTCTGTGACATGAAACATTTCATGCCTTCTAGAGAAGCTTGTTACAGACATTCCATTTGATGCAACAATTTTTTTCTGTAGATCTGCAACTAATCTAGGGTGATAAACATGACTGCCTTGCATCCAGGTTTGAGCTTGTCCTCCGAGCTTCGCAAAAAGAGCCCCCAAACGAAAATATATAGTTTTTACCAAAGCCGCTACAGGTAAGTGACGTGCACCTTTTAAGGTTGAATTGATTGCCTCAGCCAAGTTGGTCGTCATGAGTCCATATCGATATCCACCATCATATGCGTTCGTCCATATTTCTTTATCGATGAGGCTGATGTAATCGTATCCTTCCTCGTTCTTCGCCCACAAATCTTGAAGCATTGATTCAAACGTTCGAGGAAGTAGTTCGTAACTTGATCAAAAAAATGTATAACTTACTAACTTGCTTTCTTTGCAAAATTAAAATGATCAAAAAATGTATTACTTACTTACTTGCTTTCATTTACCCATGCGCACAATTAATTGACGCTCATCATTCTTCTTGTACCTTCCATGATAGTTCGCAGCAATGTGTCAGAGATAATACCTATGTTGGACAAATGGTGGTTGCCACATTGGACCCAAAGACTCCATTGCTGCTTTGATCCCAGCTCCGTGATCTGAAATGATACAAATGTTTTCCCTCGTGATAACATGTGCACGTAAATTTCAGAGGAAAAAAGCCCAAGAATCTGTATATTCTCCATCGACAAGAGCAAAAGCAACTGGAAGAATGTTGCGATTGCCATCTTGGACAACTGCCAATAATAAAACTTGCTTGTATTTTCCATACAAGAAAGTCCTGTCGATCTGGACCGCAGGCTTGTAGTATTTGGCATCATTAATGCACTGTGGGTAACTCCAAAAAACCCGGTAGAATTGGCTTCGATCGTAAAAAATTCGATCATTATGGTATGCATAGGAGGTTTCGAAGTCCACAATTATCCCAGGATTCAACGTCCGCACCAGCCTAAACCAACCTGGAAGTTCATTGTAAAATGCATCCCATTCGCCATGAAGTTTGACAATGGCATTTTGTTTTGCCAACCAAGCTTGTTTATAGGAGACAGTGTACCCATATTGCGATTGTATAGCTGAAATCAACACTGCAACAATTATATGAGAGCTTGCTTTTACCATGGGCATGATGGCTTGACATATCATTTCAGAGTCCAAGTTGGGATGATCTTGGTTGAACCCTCCAGCACAACATGTGTGAGGACCGTTGTATACTGTTAGTTCCCATATGTTGTTTTTTCTCTTCATTTTCGATACGCGAACCATCCAATTGCATCCGTTTTCGCGTTGGGCACAGTAGCATACATATTTTTTGGTCGTCGATCGGTTGACTCTGGACTGAACAGAATTACAGATATTGTAATTTTAGATAGCCATCATCGCTTTTTCTTTGCTTGAAAACTCCATGC